TTGGACTCGGCTGCCCGGGTCTCAGGAGGAAGGATTGGGGAGGAGGGGTGGGCAGGGGCTGGGGGAGGGGAGGTGACAGCTTGATCTGTTGCAGAAAGAGAGAGGGAAGGGATGCTTCCCTGCAGACAAGCTGTTCGCTTACCAGCTGAATTTGGTGAAAGAAAGAAAGAAAAAAAAATTTCCCAGTGCCATCTGCTTCCAGAGAGAGGCTGGTGTGGGGCCTGGGGCTCCCTGGGGCTCGGGCAGCCAGACCCAGTTTCAGAATCTGAGACAGCTGCCCCTTGGGTTATTTTGGGAAGCCGCTCAGCGCTGAGGCGCCCCGGCCTTCGAGGCATTTCCCGTCCCTCCGTCACTCCGGAGCTGCTTGCACACCAGCCCAAGACTGCCAGCTCCTTTCCCCAGCCCTGGATGGGTTCCAGTTCAGCCCACGGTAATTGTCCTGCTTCCAGCTCTGGCTGCAACAACGCCAAGCGGGGTCAGATTTCTTGGGACGGAGGAGAGAGGGAGGCGAGGGCGGTGGGCTCTGCAGTCCCCCTTCTCAGACTCCTTTGTAGGACTCAGCCCCTCCACCCGCCAGCCCAGGGTGCCCGTCCCGTCCCATCGCTCAGCCCTCCTCCATTCTCTCCCCAGAGATGCCCCCACCGCTCTGATCCCGAGGGTGGGGGTTGGGGGGTCTCAGCAGGAAATGACAACATCCAAAGGGCCTGGGAAGATCTTGGGCCTCTCAGGGAAGGACCTGAAGACAGCTTGGAGAGGATGGGGTGGGTAGGAGATAGAACACAGTCAGTGAGTAGACACAAAGCCTGCAGCGCTGGGAGGACCCAGAGCGTCCGGGAGCAGGGAGCTTTTCAGCAGGACAGCAATGGGCTCGGGCTCCCAGGACAGGAAAACGCCAACCTCCGCTATGGAATTGGGGTCAGAGGGGAGAGAGGCAGAGAGCCCGCCTGGAGAGTCACCATACCGAACCCCATGGATGGCGAGCGCCTGGACTTCCAGGGGCAGGAGGGAGGGGAGGAGGGCCTGGGTCTGAGAGGCGAGGAAAAGGCAGAAAGGACGCGGTGCCCGGGTTAGGGACGGTGGGGGGGTGGGTATGGGGGGTCCAGACTGAGCCACAGGTCTCAGGCTTGGGAACCCAGAGGCTGGTGTGCGCGTTCAGTCGTTTCAGTTGTGTCCGACTCTCTGCGACCCCATGGCCTGTAGCCCGCCAGGCTCCTCTGTCCACGGGATTTCCCAGGCAAGAACACTGGAGTGAGTGGCCATGCCCTCCTCCAGGGGATCTTCCCGACCCAGAGATCAAACCCAGGGTTCCTGTGTCTGCTCCTGCATTAAGGGGCTGGGGAGTCAGGAGGCAGGACAGCGGAAGGGGCAAGTTCTGACTTCAATCTGGTGAGTTTGGGGTAGGAACCCCAAGGGGCACTGTGCCCTGGGCAGCTCAAAATGTGGGTCTGGTCAGGCAGGAAGGAGCCTGGTGGTTGCCAGGGGCTGGAGGGTGGGGATAAAGAGTTTTGGTCTAACAGGTATTGAGTTTCAGTTTTGCAAAATGAATAGCATTCTGGAAATGGTGGTGATGGTGCCACACAGGGTACTTAATGCCACTGAACCACAAACGTTACAATGCCTAAAATGGAAAATTTCATTATGTGTATTTTACCGCAATAAAAAAATTTTAATGGCTGCAACCCTCCCATTAAAATGCAGAGACATTCAGATCAGATAAAAACACACAACTATTTGGGTCTATAGGAAAGCCTCTTTAGGGGACTTTCCTGGTGGTCCAGTGGTTAAAACTCCATGCTTCCAAAGCAGAGGGTGTGGGTTTGATCCCTGGTCAGGGAACTAAGATGCCTCTCAGTGTGGGCAGAAACATTTTCTTTAAAAACTCTCTTTAAAAATAAAGACACAGATCCTTTACAAGGAAAAGAATAGAAAAGATTCCCTGCTAACACTGAAAGGAAGCTTATAAGGAGCTGTATTAAAATCAAAGCGGATTTCAGAGCAAGAGAGATATTATAAAGGATTAAGAGGACATCAAAAGGCTGTGACAATCGCCGAAGAGCAGTAGGCAGGTTGGAACTAGGGGGTCTCTCTCTCTCTCTCTCTCTCTCTCTGTTCCCATACCCACCTTCCCACCAGCCTCCTATCCCAGGCACCCCTCCTTGTACCTGGACCCCAGCTCCTGCCCACCTGCCCAGGTGCCTCCCTCCAGTAAGATGCTCCCTGTCATGTTTAATCTCTTCTCATCCAGAGCCTTCCCGTGGGCATTTACACAGGCTCAGTCCTCCCCACTCACAAGCAGTCACATCCCCCGAGGCCCCAGGTTACTGGCTGGCTTCTCACCAGGCTCCACGGAGAGAAAGCATGAAATCAACCCCCCTCCTACCGCAAATCCTCAGGGTCTTTGCTCCCTGGCTTCCGCAGGCCTCCCTGCTGCCTCGTCCATCCTCACTATTTCTCAGCTTGAAAACAAGTTAGAAAAAAATTTTATTTTTGTAGCTTTATTGAGGAATACTGTCCACACATTGGACATGAGTTTGAGCCAACTTCAGGAGATGGGTGAAGGACAGGGAAGTCTGGCTGCAGTCTATGGGGTGGCAAAGAATGGGACACGACTTAGCGACTGAACAGCAACAACGTACAACAAGTAACTTTTCCCAATTTTAAGTGTGTGATTTGATGAGTTTGAAAAATGTGGACAGTCACGTGAGCACAATGAACCCATAGAGCATTCCCATCACCCCAAATTCCTCTCCTGCCAGCCTGGAAAGCACTGATCTCTTTTCTATCGCTAGGGCTACACCTTTTCTAGAATTTCTTATAAATATGTAGCCTCTTACGTCCCATTTCATTCCCTTAGCCTAACGCTCTTGATGGCATCCAGGCTGTTTTTGTATCAACACCCTTCCCTCTGTGTCGCTAAGCAGAAGCCCATTGTATGGAGACACTCGAATTCCTTTATGCCTTTGCTGGCGATGGACATTCGGGTTCTTCCCAGTCTTTGGTTTTTATGAATAGTATTGCTATTCATGTCTAAGTCTTTGTGTAGACATATGTTCTCATTTTTCTTGGATAAATACCTAGCAGTGAAATGGCTAGGTCGTATGGTGAGTGTATGTGTTACTTTATATGAAACTGCCAAACTGTTCTCTCAAGTAAACGTACCACTTTGCATCCCACCAGCAACATATGAGAACGCTAATTGCACTACATCCTTGTCAACACTTGCTATTGTCAGTGTTTTCAATGTAGCGTGTAGTGGAATCTCGTGGTTTTATTTCTCTAACGAGTAACGGTACTGAGAATCTGTTAGTCAGCTCTGGCTGCTATGATAAAATATCATAGACTGGCCAGCTTTTAAAAACAGACAGTTAGGACTTCCCTGGTGGTGCAGGGGATAAGAATCTGCCTGCCAGTGCAGGAGACACGGGTTCAATCCCTGGTCCGGGAGAATCCCACATGCCACAGAGCAACTAAACCCGTGTACCGCACCACAGCTTCTGAGCCCGGGAACCACAGCTGCTGAGCCTGCGTGCAGCAGCTGCCGACGCCTGTATGTCCCAGAACCCACGCTCCACAACGAGAGAAGTCAGTGTGTATCGAGAAGCCTGCATGCCGCAAGGAGAGCATAGCCCCTGCTTGCTGCAACGAGAGCAAGCCCACGCACGGCAACAAAGACCCAGAACAGCCAAAATAACTAACCAAATAAATAAACTTACTAAAAAAGAAAAACCAAAACGCAGACTTTTATTTATCACAGTTCTGACACCTGGGAAGTCCAGGATGGAGGTCCCCGCTGATTCGGTACCTGGTGAGGGCCCCTCTTCCTGGTTTGCAGACGGCCACCTTCTTGTTGCGTCCTCATAGGGCAGAGACTGGTTTGATCTCTCTTCTAAGGATGCTAATCCCTTCACACGGCCCCACCCTCATCCTAATTACCTGTGAGTTGGGAGGGGAGGGGAGCGGGTGGATGGGGGTGGGGTGGAGGTAAGACTACCCTGAGACTATCTCACACTCAGACACCAGCTCCAAGGGCTTGTGGTGTCAGTCACTCCCCATACAGAGCACATCCTCCAAGCTCCACTCGATGGTCGATGGTCGGGCAAAGAGGGCCTGGCCCATGCCCGCCCCCTGCCCCAAAGCCAGCCCCTCCCCAGATCCAAGGCTGTCAAACGGTGACAACTTCAGACCGAGTGGGCTCCGTCCTTTACAGAGACTCGGAGCTGGGAGGGCAGGGGAGGAGCCCAGGGCCAGCCAGATCCAGCCCCCCGGCCCTGCCCCCCGACCCTCACTCCCTCAGGTTTGTTCCCGTCCGCTGTCAGCTCCAGGAACCCCTGTTCCATCCTGCTACAGGGACTTCTGCTTCGAGAAACACAGGCAACAAGTGCCGAGTCTCCCCGGAGAGAGCGACGGGGCAGCTCCCTGGGGACAGACAGGGAGTCCATCTGACCTGCTAACCAGCCACGAGGGCCTCTTCTCTGTGACTTTCGGGTGAAACTCACCATCGTGGCTGTGGGGTGGGCCTGGGCCTCTGCTCCTCCGGCAAGTAACTGAACTGACTTTCCCGAGGGCCAGGTTTTGGAGCCACGTGGGGCTCCGGCCTCTGGAGGGTGATCCTGGGCCCGTCACCCCCACGTGAGAGGCAGGTGGACAGCAGTAGCTGAGTGTGGCAGGCGGGTCCCTGCCGTCGGGTCAGCACTGACGGCTGAGGGGCTGACGGCTGAGGGCCCCCCTACTCCAGGGTCAGCCCCTCAGCCCCCCGAAAGTCAGCACTTTCGGGCCCCTTGCAGCTGCCTCGGCGGTGGCCCCCGGAGACCACCTCCTGAATCCCTCCCCCGCCTGCCCCGTGGGGAGGGAGCCTGCGTTGGGGCTCAGCTCATATCCATGCATATTTAAGGGGGACCTTCCCAGGACACCGGCAGGCTCCCCACATCCCTCCCAGAGATCCATTTGTTAAAATAAACCAAGCGAGATCAGAGGTTAGCTCAGCAAGAAACCACGCCTAATTGGGTTCAAAGATATTCAGAAGGATGGAAACAGGAGACAGAGGCGGGGCGGGCATGCCACAGACTCACAGAACAAGATTGGGAGGCCCAGGGCTGGCTGGACCACAAGGAGCCCCTCTGCGGCCCAGGGCCCTCCAGCTGAGGATCAGCTGTGGGGGGCTGTGATGATTATTTTGGGGACCTCTGGGGCCCCCCGTCCGACTTGTCCTTCAGCTTGTGCTTGCGAAACAGGCTGTAGAGGATCCGCAGCGTGCTCTTGGCATCCTTGTTCACGATGTCTGAGGGTCGGGGGAGAGCAGGGCAGTGGTCAGACCCAGGAGGAGGAGACCAACCGTCCAAGTTTGCCCTGGACCGAGAGCTTTCCTGGGACACCAACCCTCAGGGCAAAACCTGGCAGAACTCCTGGCAAAGCAGGACAGTTGGTCAAGCAAGCCCTGAGTTCCAGGACCCATCACAGGGCACTGCCAATGCCTCCTCCCCGGCACCCTCTTGGGGGGCCCGCAACACAGCACCTTCTCCAGGCCTTGGCTCTCTGGACAGTCCATCCCCAGGGACCTTGGTCCCCCATCTCCTCTCCCTAGGACCGTCCTCCACCAGGGTGGGTGGGAGCCGTGGGCACGGTGCCCCCTCATAGGAACACTCGGCAAACACCAGGCAAGAGGCTGCACCCACATGCCGCCCCGCTCGGGGGCCCCGGCCCGAGGCTGCCTGCCCACGAGAGCCCTGCACTCACCTTCGGGGTTGACGGGGTAGCTGAGGAGGCCTTCTTCCTTCAGCAGCTCCAGGGCCAGGGTGACATTGTGCAGCTAAAATGACAAGATCCCATCAGTGTCTGCAAGATGATCCATCATGCAGCCAGGAGGCCGCCTCTAGGGGGAAAGGCAGTCCCCAAGGAAGGCACCTGGCCAGGCATCAGGGAAGGCTTCCTGGTGGAGGTGACACCTGGGAGTGAGTCCTGCCTGGTGAGGGGACTTAGCCAGGGGAGGAAGCATCCCATCTTTCCTGATACAGCCCTGGAACCTGTGAGCAATCGAGACTCCCTAGTAAAGAGCTTAGTTCTGTGGGTAAAGCGTCGGTGAGGAGACCAAGGCTCAGAGTGGCCACGGGCCCATGTGAACTCACAAGACAGAAAGTGCTGGAGTCAGGTCTGTCTCCCTCTGACTCCTGCAAAGCATCTGCGGCTGGAGGAGCCCTTCCCAGTCCCAAAGCCCGCTCCAACCAAGCCAGGCGGTTCCCATGGCAACCTAGCCAGGGGTCAGTAAGCAATGCCCACCCGAGGGTGCTGCCCTGCCTAGCCTGCTCCCAGTCCCCTCCTGGTGGGTCTGGGTAGATCTGGGTTGGACATCTGTGCACCAGCCCCCACCAGGTCACAGGTCACAGGTTGGACAAGGCACGTGTCCTGCCTGGGCCTTGTCCCCTCATCCATACAAGGGGAATAGCTCATCTCCCAGTGGGCACTTCAAGTGGCCATGTGGACCACTGTGATGGTGGACCCAGAACTGGGACCTCGAGGCAAGATGTGAAGGTGGAATAAAGAAGGCAGAGCTGGGGCCTCCCTGCATGTTTCCGCTGCACCGGCTCCTACAAGGGCTGGGTAGTGGGCTGTGTGGGAGGCCAGGAGCCCCTGATAAAGACTCTCTCAGAGAGGGAGAGGGGCAGGCCACAGTCCTGGTCCAAGGACACAGGGCAGGGGATGGGGGGAGCATCTTCAGCCGTCTCCAAGGACTCCCGCTGCATCCCAGGCAAGGGGCACAGTCCTCCGTGGCGTCTGGCTCCCCGGAGGCTGTGTGGGGACCACAGGGATCTGGGAGCAGAGTGAGCAAGGTCCTTCTCCACAGGGGAGAGTTGAAGGAGCATCAGACGGACAGAGCCAGGACTTCCCTGATGGCACTGGCTAAGACCCCATGCTCCCAGTTCAGGGGGCAGGGGTTCAATCCCTGATCAGGGAACTAGACCCCACATGCCGCAACTAAGAGTTTGCATGCTGCAACTAAAGATTCTGCATGCTGCAGCTAAGACCTGTCACAACCTACACAAATAAATTATTTTTTAAAAATGGACAGAGTAGCAGAGCTGGGTCCAAGATGCAACGGAGAGGGTGGTGGTAGCTGGGTCACCGGCCCAGCAGGGCCCCTCTAGAGCCCATCAAGGAGAAGAGACCAAGGCTGTCGCGGGTGCCGATGTTCCCCAACAGGTAGGTCACACCTCTGGGGATGTGCAGACCAGAGGAAGCAAACCTCAGAGTGAGTGAATCAGCCTCCGGGGCCATCCTGGCCCCTGGCCCCAGGTCTTCCCCCAGACTGGAGAATTCTGGAAAATGTGGGTTGCTACTGTTGCTAGTCTTTTCATTCTCATCAGGAGCACCATTCAGAAGATGCACGGAAGGTAAATATCAGAGTGATGGCAGGACACAGGGCTGGGCTCTCCCGCCTCTCAGCCCAGCCTTTGATGTGCTCACCTCCAAGCCTGTGTCTCCACAGCGTGGTCCAAGAAGGGAAAAGGGGTCTGTGACCAAATGGCTTCAGGAAATGTTGGCTTCCATAAAGTTGTATGGAAATCCTCCACTGCAGGACTTCTCAGTGCCCTGAATGTGTTACAATGTATCCTGAGCTTTTGGGACTATGCATGTTTTCCCAAGTGATTTCACCACAGGATCCATTTGTCAGGGAGCAGCTCATGGGACCAGTTTCTCAGAAACACTTCATTCACTTACTTTAAATATTTATTGTCATTTGTTTATTTGTCTTAGTTGCAGCTCGTGGGATCCTAGATCTTTGTTGCGGAATGCGGGTTCTTTCAGTTGCAGCCTGTATGACCTTTAGTTGCGGCAGGCAAACTCTTAGTTGTGGCATGTGAGATCTTAGCTCCCTGACGAGAGATCAAACCCAGGACCTCTACACTGGGAGCAGTCTTGGCCACCGATCCACCAGGGAAGTCCCTAACAATATTTATCGATCGTCTGCTATGTGCTGGCCATGCAACTGGGGCAAAACCCAGACCCGCTGCCTGCCCTTGTGGAATTCATGCTGAGTATCACCGCTGTCGACCCTAGAACAATGATCGCTCAAGCTTCTACGGGCCAACCAGGAGTAGCCTCAGGCCCCAGCCCCACCCCACCAGGCTATACCCAAAGCATTAGTTTTCTTGCACGCACAGTTTGAGATGATGAAAGGAAAACGACCATGTTCCACAGAGCTGAGAGAAGGTCACAACCCAGAAAGAAGCATTCAAATCGTTCGAGAGAGAAGTAATTTCACGTGGGAGGGAGCCGAAGGATCGTGGCCCCGGTGTTTTCATTTCTGCAAAGCCAACGATCGCCTCACTCCTCCAACCCTACTCCACTTCCAGCACCAAACGGCAACCTCACATCGACACCACTGGCAGAGAAGGTCTGATAACGAGAAATTCAATTTCCAGAAGCCACAATTCCTCGGGTGTCCCACCTCCGGAAAGGGCCGTTGTTCCGCCCTTTCCAGTTAATGACCTCGTCGGCAATTTTGTTACCCATTCCTGCAGCTGAGGTTTCTTACAATAGCCCATAAAATTGCATTCTTGGGCCTGAGCTGAGAGGCTGCTTTTTTCCCCTCCAAAGAATGTGGCTCATCTTCAAAACTTGGTTCTGAAATCAGTGGAGTCGGCAGGCTGGCTACACATGGGGGCCTTGGAAGGCAGGACATTTGTCCCCCGCTTGTAACTGGGGATTAGGAGGTGAGCAAAATACTGGGTGCTGGCCTTGATATCTGGTGAGGCCCCGACCCCCGAGTGACAAAGAGGGGACCCCTGTGCTCTTTTGGGTCCCGGTTCTGAGCCCCTGGTCCCATGGGGATCTGCATGTGACCCACCCCACCGGCTCCATCCTCTTAACCTTCCCTCACTGATCACACATGGGCATCCTGACTCCTGGATAAAAGTCAGCACCACGGTCTCAGCCTCGCTCTGACCCACCTAAGCCCTTGCTCTGACCCTGCAACTCGGGGTAAGCCTCGTTCTTGGTCTTTAAAGGGCTCACCCTGCCTCCATCTCCCACGGGGCTCACCCTGGCTCCCCAGGAAGGATATGAGGCTGTAGTTCCCACTTTTGTAGACAGATGACCCTGGTCGCCATTCTAACCTCAACGCTATCTGGCTTACTTGCCCTGTCTGAAGTCAGTTTCCTTGGAGAGAAACAGGAATAGGAATAGTTCCTATTCAGAGGCCCGACGCAGGGAGGAATCGGCAAGGTTATCCATGCTGCCCGTGGGCAAGCACCTGCCTGGCTCCTGTCTCGTGTCCTCTCGGCCCCGTGCATGCAGGCGCCTCCGCACGGAGGCCACAGGGCCTTCTCTGGCCAAGAGGGTGAGAAGGAAGTGATAACACGCCAGGTCTGAGCCTGCACCACATGTGTCCTGTTGCATCTCTGGGTCCCCTGCCATTGCCGTGAGAAAACCATGCCATGCTCACCGCTGGTCCCAGGAGGAGACATAGAGCTTGACGGCCCCAGTGACCCCCGCCTAGACGGCCTGACACCCAGCCCATGATGGAGCCTGGCCACGCCTGGAGCAGCCAAACCCAGACGACCTGCAGACCCACCAGAAGGAAGGATTTCAGTTTGCACTGAGTATTTGGGTTGTTTGTTACACAGCATTTTCATAGCAATAGCTGACTAACACAGTGCCCAGTGAAGGGTAAGAATCCAGTAAGTGCCAACCACTGTTTCTACCACAGCTTCAAACACAGCACTGCTCCAGCCTGCTTGCTCTTCAGCCAATATCCCAGCTCTGGGGAATCTGAGCCCCAAATCACTCTTCCAGTCAAGAGCACCCCTGCCTCCTGAGAGGGTGGGGACGGCTCCCACAAAGATGGCCAAAGGAAGAACATGGACTGAGGGTCAAGACGTCAGCCCCAGTTCCAGCTGAGCAGCCCTGGGCACGTCCCACAGCCTCCGGGGCCTCAGTTTTCCCTTCTGTAGAATGGAAATACAAGCCTGCCCTGCACCCCACCCCCCAGGAACGTGGAGTGAGAGAGAAGCTGGGGTAAGGGGCCTGGTGAGGCCAGACTCAGGTAGGAACTCCCTGCGAACACGAGAGGAGCTGTGGGTCAGGGGCCTAGAGGGGATGAGCCCAGGAGCTCAGAGGGGATGAGAAGCTGGTCAGAACCAACACCCAGCTAAGGGAGCCGGAGCAGAGCAGGATGAAGGGGGGGCTGGGGGTACACTGGAGATGGCAGAGGCCCAGGTGGCATGCGGACCACAGGTGGGCAGTGAGGCTGTGGCCAGGAGGCAGGCGGGCTGGGGAGGCAGGCCTGGAACATTCGACAGGGACCCTGGTGGGGGAAATGGGCAGGCTAGCAGCCAGAAGCAGGGACAGACAGGGTTGCTGATACGTGGGAGCCAGACAGAAACCAAGCTTGGAACTGGGTCCGGGCCCAGGGCCCCCCTTCCACAACCCCCCCAGGGAAGGCCTTGAGATCTGAGCCATCCTCAGGGCCACGGGGACATCAAAGGGGAGGGAAATCATTCCTTTTCCCAGAAACGCCCCAAGGCTGGTACTGGGAACTAGCACCCAGCCCTGCCTGGTGTCCCCTCTCTACAGAGGGAGGATGGGGTGGCCTCCTGCGCTGGGCTGCCTGCCACCCAACCAGCCAGAGGGACCCTGGTGTGGACAGAGTTCAGACAGGGCCATCTGGGGTCCTGGGCGGGATGAGGGGACAAGGGACCACATACCCCTGGATGCTTCCACCTTCATGATGCTCCAAACTCTTCTGTTATTTGTGTGGTCTGAGGGGCAGCAACCCACCCCAGTGTTTCTGCCTGGGGAGTCCCATGGACCGAGGAGCCTGGCAGGCTGTTGTAGTCCATGGGGTCGCAAAGAGTCGGACACATCTTAGCGACTGAGCACAAAGGCCAGCAGGGCAGGGACCGAGCCCACTTTAGCCAAGGAGCCTGAGGTGCCGGCAGTGAGCTGGTGGTGGATTGAGGACCAGAGCGGACGCTTTTCCTTCCTCTGCCAAATCCGCTGGGACACAGAGCCCAGGACTGGAGTGAACTCTGCTCTGGGGGTCTCAGTTTCCTCCTGTGGAGACTCGTGAGCATCCCTGCCCTTCGCTAGCAGATGTCCTGCATAGAAAGGACATTCCCGGCAGGGGAACAGACTCTGCAAAAGCCCAGAGATGGGAGAGCTTGAGGAGCTCAAGGAACTGCAGAGGCTCCACGTGACAGGCCTGGGGGGTGGGGGAGGGAGGAGCCCCACGAGGGCCCAGATGCTGGGAGCAGTCAGACTGATGCCCTGTCCCTTCCACCAGCATCAGTCTCACCATTGTCCTTCCCCAACCCAGGCATAGACACCCCCTCCCAACCCTGCCTGGACTAATGCAGCCATCTCCCAACCAGCCCCCAGACTCCAGGGTCCACGTGGGAACTTCTGACTCCCACGAGGCCAGAACCCCTGCCACCTCTGAACCTTTGATGATGCCATTCCCTCCCCTGGGGCTTCCCTCCCTAATTTAACTCTGCAAACCAAGCCCTTCAGTCAACTTCAGGGGCCACCTCTCATGCAAGGCCTCTCCTGATTCCTGCAGATCGTACTAACTACATTTTCTTGCACTAAGGTTCCCCACCAGCCCACCCACCATGAGCCAACACATTTCACTGCAACCCCAGAAGACCATATATCACTAAGATCACAGTGTTTATAGACTGAGGGGTCCTCGAAAGCAGGAGCTGTGTTGGATCATCTTTATGGCCCATAGGGCCTGACAACAAGCAGGACCTCAGAAAATGAGGGATCAGGTGCACGGGTGAGTGGGTGGGTGGACGGGTAGATGAATGGATGATGGATGGATGGATGAGTGGATGGATGGATGGATGGATGATGTGTGGAGAGATGGGTGGATGCATGATGGATGGGTGGGCGGGTGGATAGATGATGGTAGATGGATGGATGAGTGGATGAATAGATGGATGGGTGGATCGATGGATGGGTGGTTGGATGATATGTGGATGGCTGAGTGATTGATGGATGAATGAATGAATAGATGGATGGATGGATGGTGTGTGGATGGATGATAGATGGATGGGTAGATGGGTGATGATGGGTGGACGGGTGGATGGATGATGGATGGATGGAAGGATGGATAGATGAATGGGCAGGTGGATGGATGGGTGGGTAGGTGGATGGATGGTGGATGGATGGATGAGTGGGTGGGTGGATGGATGATGATGGGTGGGCGGGTGGATGGATGATGGTAGATGGATGGATGAGTGGATGAATGGATGGATGGGTGTATGGATGATGTGTAGATGGATGATGTGTGGATGGATGATGTGTGGATGGATGATGGATGGATGGAAGGATGGATAGATGAATGGGCAGGTGGATGGATGGGCGGATGGATGATGTGTGGATGGATGATAGATGGATGGGTGGATGGATGGATGGATGAGTGGCTGGCTGGATGGATGGGTGGATGGATGATGTATGGATGGATGATAGATGAATGGGTAGGTGGATGGATGAGTGGGTGGGTGGATGGATGGTGGATGGATGGATAGATAGATGAATGTATGGATGGATAGATGAACTGTGTGGACAAGTGAATCAGCAAGTCAATGGATAGGTGTAAGAGTCTGTATGTGAGATTGGTGGGTGAATGGGCAGACATATGGACAACCAAAGTTTCCTTCAGCCTTTATTTCACCTGTAAGTGAATGAATGAAGACTGATCATGCCAGTTTCCTAGATCTGTGTACTCAGAGGTAGAACTGGAAAGGAGAAATCTTTGCAAAATCTTACCATTTCCGCAGGAGAGCTGGGAGTGAGATAGAATTCCTTCAAGTGCAGGAAGAAGCCTTCCAACTGTCCAATCAGCAAGAGTAAGATGACGCCATCTGCAAACTGCAAAGTAGGGAACTGAAGACAGATCACCTAGAGGATCCCACTCTGCCTGTTACAGGCTGTATGACGATAAAGGTCACACAACCTCTCTGAGCCTCGGGTTCCTTCTTGAGAAATAGAGATGACATCCTTGACCTTGCAGTGTTGTTGTAAACAGCCACAGGTATAAAGCAGTTATTGGCTGTCTAACACAGAGCACATGCTTGATAAAACGAGCCATTTTTACCTTTTCTGTGAAAGAGCCTCAAATCATTTTTTAAACCACATACTGTTCCATGAGCTACAGAGGCTCAGGAGAAAACAGAGTTAAGTGTAAAATTATTCCATCAGGAGAAGGCAGAGAACAGCACACCGGGCTCATTTTGCTGGCTGTTACGTTCGTATTTGTCTGTTCTGTCTGTATGTTCAGAGATAAAGCCATCACCCCGGCATCAGTGCATCATATGCTAATATAATCCTATTCAATCTCTTCAAAGACACAAAACACAAGATTGAATATTGGAAGTAAGTCACCGCTAGAAGTCCTTAATGAAATTGCCTCGTAATAGGTCTGTTTCCATGCTGTTATTTTGACCCCAAATCTTGCCTACTGATGTTCCCGGTAATACCACCGAAATACCAGGGACTTTAATATCCCCCTTTATGCAACAGTCTCTAAATACCATTCTCACATGTGCCATTTATTCTTCAAACACCTTTATTTTACCAAGTGAGACATAAAGATGAAACAGGTAGAATGTAAACCCAAGGCATCATCCTATTCATACCCACATAAAATACAATAAAACCACAACTTTTTATTGTGTGTCTGCAGTGTGTCAGTGAAGTGAAAGTCGCTCAGTCGTATCTGACTCTTTGTGACCCCATGGACTGTACAGTCCATGGAATTCTCCAGGCCAGGATACTGGACTGGGGAGGCTTTCCCTTCTCCAGGGGATCTTCTCAACCCAAGGATCGAACCCAGGTCTCCCACATTGCAGGCAGATTCTTTACCAGCTGAGCCACAAGGGAAGCCCAAGAATGCTGGAGTGGGCAGCCTATCCCTTCTCCAGCAGATCTTCCTGACCCAGTGATGGAACCCAGGTCTCCCGCCTTGCAGGTGGATTCTTTACCAAATGCCAGGTAATACACAAAATGCCCGATGTTCACCATCTCACTTATTACTCATGGTTCTGTGAGATAGGGATCCTTGTACCCATTTTGAAAGAAGAGGAGCGTGAGGTTCAGATAAGTCCGGGTCCAAGGTCACACAGCTAAGGGAGAGGAGGTATTCTTGAGCCCGGGGGCAACGTGTGCCCGCCTGGCTTCAGAGTCTGCCACCTCCATCCTGCTGTGTCGCCAGGCCACGTCACACACAGGCTTCACGAGGCCACCGTGCAAGGGGGTGATGGCGCACAAACCCTGGCTTCAGCAGCCGGGGTTCACGTCCCAGGTCTACCACTTAGTCAGGCTCCCCAGGTGGCGCTAGGGGTAAACGACCCACCTGCCAAGGCAGGAGACATGAGACGGGTTCGATCCTGGGTCGGGAAGATCCCTTGGAGAAGGCAATGGCAACCCACTCCAGTACTCTTGCCTGGAGAATCCCATGGACCAAGGAGCCTGGCGGGCTACAGTCCATGGGATCACATAGAGTCGGACACGACTGAGTGACAGGCACCACTTAATCACTGTGTGACCTTGGGCAAGTTCATTAACCTCTCTGAACTTAATGTGCTTATCTGTAAAATGGGATAGTAGCAGTTCCCACCTAAGGAGGTTGTTGAGAGGAGTCAGTGAGCTGACGTATGCAAAGGGCTTTGCTCAGAGCTGGGCACAGGGTAAGGGCTTCATCGGATTTAGCTCCAGGCACAGGACGATATCAACCCTGTTCCCCACAGGCTAACGACAGGCCGTGTCTGAGACATCAGCAGCACTGGCTAAGCTCACCGTAAGCCACTTGGTGACCTTGCCACCGGTCCCCCCAGACCATGTTGTGTAAACAGAAGCCAGGGGGCCCGAATCCTGCCCCAGCACGTCCAGTTAATGCCCCCGGGGCCCAGCAGGCTCCACTGCTGCCCTGAGGGCCTGGGCTGGCCATCGGCTTCTCTGCCCCCCACTGCATTAAGGGAAATCAGGGGCATAGCGTTCTGGTGGGAGGCCATGGTCCACCACAGGAGGCTGACAGCTCAAGACTCTATTCCTGCCCTGGGACAGTTCAGCGTCGTCAGCACCGGGGACCAGGAGACTCGGGGAGCCCTCAGATACAGGGCTGTGTCAACACCTACAACCCCACCAGACACACGTGTGTGCGTGCTAAGTCTCCAGTCATGTCCGACTCTTTGGGATTCCATAGACTGAAGCCCGCCAGGCTCCTCTGTCCATGGAATTTTCCAGGCAAGAGTACTGGAGTGGGTTGCCATGCCCTCCTGCAGGGGATCTTCCCAACCCAGGGATTGAACCCGGATCTCCTACATCTCCTGCACTTGCTGGCAGGTTCTTAACCACTAGCGCCACCAGGGAAGCCAATGCAGTTAGACAGGGAACGCTCGTGTGTTTTGAGTCATAGCATCAGATCGTCCAAGATAGTTTTGGGGAAAACGAGCTGCAAGGCGGTTGTTTTACAATGAAAGTGATTAACAGCACAGACAAACCCCGAGGTCCTCACTTCACAGGACCATTGTCCTGCCCCTGACTGGCGATGCTGCCTCCATGCAACACCCCCATTGGCGAGGAGGACCCCAGGTGTCTGGGAGGCGACACACCCTGGGTCACACAAGGTGGGCCAGGCTCCCGGGTGGGCCCTGCAGAACCCTCTCCCCGTGGCCCTTCCCGACCCCGGACCCCGCAGCCGCGTCCCTACCTGAGTGTCTAGATTCTGCACGGACAGGCCCAGGCGGTCCAGCTCCTGGTTGACGAACTTCACGATGGCCTGTTCAGGGAAGAACCGAGGCCCCAGGCCCCCAGCTCAGGTTCGCGACCTTCCTACTCGGGGTCACAGAAAGCGCCCCCACCACTACTGCATGGCAACCGGCACAGCAGCTGAAGAGTGAGGGCCAGGGGGCCGTATTCCTCCCCCTTTGCCCTACCCTCTCCCCCAGACCCAGGGCAGGTGGGCAGCGGGTGGGCGGGCGGCAGGAGGCACTCTTGGAACTTTGATCTCTCTACCTCTTTGACAGCGTTCACCTTCTCTGGAGCCAGCTTAAATAATTCATCAAAGACGTCCTCTGCAGACAGATCCAATAAACACCTCATTAGGATGCTATTATCTTTGTGCCAAACAGGGACTTCTTTTCCACCAAAGTTTCTCAGAAGAATCAGTCCAGAGAGAGATGTAGTTTTATCCCAAGTAAATAATTAAGTGTTAGTTGCTCAGTCATGTCTGACTCTGCGACCCCATGGACTGTAGCCCGCCAGGCTCCTCTGTCCTTGGAATTCTCCAGGCATGAATACTGGAGTGGGTTGCCATGCCCTCCTCCAGGGGATCTTCCAACCCAGGGATCTCACCTGTGTCTCTTATGTCTCCTGCATTGGCAGGCGGGTTCTTTAGCACTAGCGCCACTTGGGAAGCCCAGCTGGGCACACAATAGGACTTAAATAACAGTCATTGTTTCTAGAGTGGACACCACTCCAGCCCCTGGGAACTCACCCTGCCTCCCCGCAGTTCCCTGCTCCGCCCAGCAGTCCATAGGAGCTGCCATAGGTGGCTGAAGGGGGGCCGGCCCCGGACTGACTCCTGGCTCCGAGGTCTCCTCCCCAGCGTGTGTGGATTGGCAGAATTAGGGCATCCAGCCCTTGCAGAGAGGCTGAACTCCCCACGGGGCACAGAAGGCCAGCACCCTCAGCAGCTGAGTCAGGCCCATGGGAGCATCTTAGCAACTCAGGCCCCTGGTCCAGACTCAGAGGCGCCAAGTCCTCAGACTAAGGTCATTTTCCCACCAACTGCGTTCCTGCTCTTTGCAGTTAACACGCCTCCCCTGGGGAGACCGGTCCTCAAGGCACTGAATACCCACACTGAATAGAATTTACCTCTTGATTCTGCAGCCAGCCATTGTGTGACTCTGAACAAGTCACTTCACCTCTCCCCACCTCGGTTCCCTCATTAGTGAAGGGAGGGAAGTGGCACCAGACCGCACTCTGCAGGTTAACATGCCCCATAAACCGACAAACAGGGTGGAAATACCACAGGTCCCTCCCAGAGCGCTTGGCCTATGGTCAGTGACACTGTGTCCCTGAAGGAGCCACTCCGATGACCCAGGCCAGAACACCACGGACATGCTAGACACGGTGTTAGGAAGCCCTGTTCCGTGTCCCTGCCCCTCAATGGGTGACCCAGCCTCATGCAGCCCTCTAACAAACACTGCTCCCTGGGAGACCCCAGGTCCTCAGGCTGCCCCTCCACATGCCCACACACAGACATCTCGCCGGACCGGCCTTCCTGGCACCTCCCTTCTCCCACTCAACCTTTCTCAGTCCTTGCTCTCAGAAGCCCCTCACAGGTCATAGTGCCTCCTCTGCAGGTGAGAACCCCCTGCCTATACAGCTCTGTTCCAAGCGGGGAAGGTTCGGGGAGGAAAAATCACATTAAGATGGACGGATGGATAGATGAATGGATGGGTGAATAGATGAGTGAATGGATGGTTGGATGGATGGATGGATGGATGGATGGATGGATGAGTGGATGGATGCATAGATGGATGGTGGATGGATGGATGGATGGGCGGATGGATGGATGCATAGATGGATGGATGGATGATGAATGGATGGGTTGGTGGATAGATGAATGAATGGGTGAATAGATGGATGATGGATGGGTGAATAGATGAGTGAATGGATGTTTGGATGAATGGATGGATAGATTGCTAGACACGGTGTTAGGAAGCCCTGTTCCGTGTCCCTGCCCCTCAATGGGTGACCCAGCCTCATGCAGCCCTCTAACAAACACTGCTCCCTGGGAGACCCCAGGTCCTCAGGCTGCCCCTCCACATGCCCACACACAGACATCTCGCCGGACCGGCCTTCCTGGCACCTCCCTTCTCCCACTCAACCTTTCTCAGTCCTTGCTCTCAGAAGCCCCTCACAGGTCATAGTGCCTCCTCTGCAGGTGAGAACCCCCTGGCTATACAGCTCTGTTCCAAGCGGGGAAGGTTCGGGGAGGAAAAATCACATTAAGATGGATGGATGGATAGATGAATGGATGGGTGAATAGATGAGTGAATGGATGGTTGGATGAATGGATGGATGGATGGATGGATGGATGGATGGATGAGTGGATGGATGCATAGATGGATGGTGGATGGATGGATGGATGGATGGGCGGATGGATGGATGCATAGATGGATGGATGGATGATGAATGGATGGGTTGGTGGATAGATGAATGAATGGGTGAATAGATGGATGATGGATGGGTGAATAGATGAGTGAATGGATGTTTGGATGAATGGATGGATAGATGGATGCATAGATGGATGGATGCATAGATGGATGACCAATTGCCAACTGGCCAGGCAGACTGATTAAGGAATAAATGAATGAAAGAAGGAATGGCTGGGTCAATCAGTCAATTGGTGAAGAATTCTGTCTCAAAAACAGAGGCCAAAGTAGTGAACAATCACTATTAAGCACTTTCTCTGTGCTAAGCACGTTCACAAAGAACCTTTTAACCCCAGCCACCAGCCTAAGAGGTGGGTACCATTATTAACCCCATTTTATAGATGAGGAAACTGAGGTACAGACAAGTTCAGTCATTCACCCAAGTTCACGTGGCTAATAAATGGGGGAATTGGCGTTTGAACCCAGGTTGCCTGGCCCCAGAGCCCACACACTGAACAACTCCACAGCTGCCACCACCGATGGGAATTAAAAATCTCTCTACCCATATGAGCAGTATTGTGAGAAGGAACAGCCAAATCCACGGGCAGACAGACAGAAGGGAGGACAAAAAGATAAGAGGGCTCAAAATACACATGCACACGTGCTAAGTCGCTTCCGTCGTGTCCAGCTCTTTGTGACCTGATGGACTGTAGCCCACAGGCTCCTCTGTCCATTAGGATTCTTCAGGCAAGAGCACTGGAGTGAGTTGCCACGCCCTCCCCCAGGGGATCTTCCTGACCCAGAGATTGAACCTGCATCTCTTACGTCGTGGACCACAAAGGAACTGCGAGCACACCCAATCATCAACCAGTCAAAATGCCATGTCTATCTCAGCACATACCCAACAGAAAAAGATTTCCCTAAATTAGGAAGGTACTCACTTGATGGTTGGTCCTTGTCTGTGCTAAAGAGGAAAATGTAGGGGGTGGGGGTGGAGAGAAAGCAAACACACGGTTAAAAAAAAAAAAACAACTTCAGAGATGTAGTGTCTTCATGTGACAAGACCTGGCAGAGGCAAGGCTGACAGAGAAACTTGCGAGCTCCCTTTTCCTGGCAGTGCCATAAGCATGCAGGGCCCTCGTGGGAAGCAAATGGCAGAGGTCCAAACCTCCCCCTGAGGCTCCCACACCTAGAAATGCCTGGATTGTGTCATTTTTGTGGTTGCTGTTTTAGCTATGCTATGATTGCTAAGTCGCTTCAGTCGTGTCCGACTCTTTGCAACCCCATGGACTGTAGCCCACCAGGCTCCTCTGTCCATGGGATTCTCCAGGCAAGAATTCTGGAGTGGGTTGCCATGCCCTTCCCCAGGGGATCTTCGCTACCCAGGGATCGAACCTGAGTCTCCTGCATTGGCAGACTTGTTCTTTACCACTAGCGCCACCTGGGAAGCTGTTTTAGTTGTGGTGGGGGCATATTTACACAACACGATAAACATGCCCAAATCCTCACTTGAGAGCCGGTGCGTGTTTACCGACGCACATCCCTGTGTCACCACCCCCAACACGGCAGAACCTTCTAGCACCCCGAGCTGTTCCCCCCCTCCCCATCACACCCCATAAAGGTCACTACTGCTCAGAGGTGCCTGGCTGTCTTCATTTGGTCTGTTTGTGTTTGAAATGAAATCGTACGCACTCCCTCATGTCCGGCTTCTTTCACTGCCTTTTTATTGTCATTGAGCGGTTTTGCCTGGACTTTGTTGTTAAGTGTCCCCCCCCGCAACGCCCTGAAAGCTCGGTTCTGCCCGCCTCCCAGGTAGGTTGGGCTCTCCCAGGAGAGCCAGGTGGTCCCTCCGACCGCCCAGGACCCTGGCAGGAAGCTGGGCTGAGTGGGATGGAGGAAGCGGCCTGAGACGAAGGCCCAGGGCTCCACACGGAGTCAGCTGCCAGGAGGGGCACACGGCCCTGTGCCGCCTGGGACACAAGCCCAGGGCCAGGGGCGGGCCCTCACCGAAGCCTCCGAGCTCGCGGAGGCTGAGAAGGGCTGTTTTAGGGCTGCAAAGGGAGGAGGGGCGTGGCCACCATGGGCACTGCTAACTGCGCCCTCTCTCAAGTTCCCCAAAGTTGTTCTCAGAGCCTAAAGCTTCGGCATACAAGGGTCAAGATGGATGATGGGGAGGGCATCTAGCCTCACCGAGTGACAGGAGAACAGGCCTTCTTCCTGGGGTGTCACTGGGAAGGCCGATACGCTGGGCCCCACTGGCAGGAGGGGCCAACAGATGTCTGCTCCCTCCGCTCTGGGCATCCTTTGCCCACACGCCTCCACCAAGATATTACCTGCCATCAGCTAGCCCATCCCCCTAGCCTGGTCCCAGTGAACACCCAGGAGACGTAGACCCAGCAGGACCTCAGGGCTGGGGGCACAAAAGAGGGGAAGGTCCCCTTATGGACATCATCTGTGACCCTCACAACAGCCCCAACAAGTAGGAAAAGTGGGGTCCCCCTTTATCAAAGGCATGAAGAAGCTCAGAGAGGGGGAGTGACTTGCCCAAGGACACACAGCTCATACCAGGCTGAGCTGGGATCTCAGCCCAGACAGGGCAGTCTGTGAGCAGGAGAGAACTGAACTTGCCCAGCTGGGCCTCTGAGAGTTAAATGGGTCAAGGGAGCTGAAACAGCCCAGTGCCCTGCACACAGCAGGCCTCAGGAAGGGTTAGACAAGAANTGACTTGCCCAAGGACACACAGCTCATACCAGGCTGAGCTGGGATCTCAGCCCAGACAGGGCAGTCTGTGAGCAGGAGAGAACTGAACTTGCCCAGCTGGGCCTCTGAGAGTTAAATGGGTCAAGGGAGCTGAAACAGCCCAGTGCCCTGCACACAGCAGGCCTCAGGAAGGGTTAGACAAGAAGGGAGAATCCACAACTTTCCTGCAAGGAACCCACTCTCAGGCCAACCCAGAAAGACCTTTGGACCAGATGGGGTGGGCGGTGAAATGGGGAAGCAGGCAGCATGCGGCAGGGTCTGGGGAAACACAGGCCTGCAGGTGGAGCCGGGCCCCTCTGCAGCTCTGGCAGCTTTGCGAGGATGAGAAACATTCTGCCTGGACCAGGCGAAGATTCTACAATTCACGGAACAGAACCTGCAGCTCAAACTTAGGGGCCTGCTGCAGGGCAGCCCCCAACCCCTCCCACCCCTCGAACCTGGGCGGGGGTCCCCAAGTGTGAGCCCACGGGTGGCAGGGGACCTTTGGCTGAGGTCATTTACAATCTCCACCACAGGCGAGTCCAGGATGCAAAATAGCCAGGTCTCCCTGGAGAGAGACGCAACTGGGAGGTGTTGGAGGGCCTGTGGGGGAGAGGCTCATGGTATATGCGTGGCTTCCTTTACCACCCAGGCTGTTGGGAGTTTTGGCCACAGGCCAGCTGGCCCCGCGCCCCTGAGACCCCTCTAAAGGCTCACCCAGCCTGCAGCTCAGAGACGCCTAACAGCAGCCCCTCTTCTCCCTGGACCCCAGACCCTGCAGAGCCCAGGTGCATGGCCCTGACCCTGATGTGTTTCCAACCCTGGCATGAAGCATGTGCAGTGCAGGTGGGTGTAGGCAGCTCTGCCGGCCAGGACTCCACGGGCCGGGCAGCGCTTAGTAGGGCCGGCAGAGTGAGGGCCCCGCCCAAGAAGGTCAGAGGTCTGCCCCTGCCCCAGGGCCCACTGCCCATTCCTGAGAAAGCCCAGCGCCCCCGCCTGCCTCACCCGCACTCAGTCAGTTGCTCCACCAACTTCTCCGACTTCAGGCCGCTCTTGGTGCGCTAGGAGAGAGAACGGGGGACGGGATGGAGTATCCACAGAAAATTCTAGGGCCCATGACTGCTTCTAGAGGAGACTGGAGGGCCCAAAGCTGCCCCAAGGGACCCAGTTCACCCTGCCTCATCCACTCCTCAAGGAAGCCTCCCTCCTGGGCAGCCCTTGTGGGACCAGGTTAATTGTCCTTCTTCCCACGGGCCCTGAGCCCCACAGAGGCGGAGCGTGTCTGCTTCAGTGCCCAGGTATCCCCAAAGTCCACTCAGTGCCTGGCTCACAGGGCGTCAACGGACATGTGTTTACCTGATAAAAAATAAGTGACTGGGTGGATGAATAAATGAGTGGGTGGGTGAATGAATGGGTGAATGGGAAGGTTAATGAATGAGTGTGGGGGGGGAGGTGAGTGAATGAATGAATGGGTGGTTGAGTGGCTAAATGAATGGATGAGTAGGTGGATGGATGAATGGATGAGTGGGTAGATGAATGAATGGATGAGTGAGTGGGTAAGTGGATGAATGAATGAATGAGTGGGTGGGTAAATAAATGGATGAGTGAGTGGGTGGAGGAATGGGTGGGTGAGTGGATAAATGAATGGATGAGTGGGTAGGTGAATAAATGGTTGAGTGGGTAGATGAATGAATGGATGAGTGGGTGGGTGGAGGAATGGATGGGTGGATGAATGGGGAGGTGAATGAATGAATAGGTGAATGCATGAAGGAACGAAGTCACCTCTGATTTACATATAGCCACAGAATTCGTCAGTCATTTTGAAAAAGTCGGGATGAATCCTCCCGAGTTTGGCTGGACTCGGTGTATTCTGCCTCCTGGGATAAGGGAAGCTGGCTGCTCCCCAGGTGCCCAGGAGGTGGGGGAGGGAAGCGTGGGGGGCACGCACAGGGGAGCCCTGTTGGTGGCACTTAGGGTCTGTCTGAGAGAGAAGGCACAGACTCCTGGGCCACCGGCTACAGCGCAAGTCCACGCGTGCTGGAGGGGGAGCACTCAGTAGGTGCTGGAACCGAAAAGGCCGCTGGGGCCCCTCTCACACCCATGCACTGGAAGACGAGACCGTCACAGTGGAGGGCAGTGGCGGTGGCCAGGGGTGTGAAGGCTCCAGAAGGGCCGTGAACAGACGGTCACTTACAGCGCATGTGGTTGCCATCAGCCAGGACCTTCAGGACACCCCAGGCAGGTGTCATCTGCTGCGTAAGTGGGGCTGGCCAGTCCACAGACCTCCTCGTGGCCCCCCCGGACTCTGCATCTCCTGCCCACAGCTCCGGCCCAGCTTCCCCGGCCATCCTGGTGGGATCTGGTATTTCTCCCGGCTCCCTGGTCACCCTGGTTCAGCCCCCACCCTGTGTAGCACCCACCCCCTGGTTCAGAGTGTGGCGACATGGCCCCAACATGCTTGACCTGCAGGCGGGCATCCTCCGGGGCCCGCCCCTTACCTCCATGGTGATCACCTCCACCTGCACGTTGGTCGGGAGGGGCAGGTCGGGCTGGAAGCGCTTGGCCAGGGCCACGAGGAGATGCAGGGTGGCCAGCAGGTCCTTGCTGAAGATACCTGGGAGGGAAGGGGGCATGAGGTCAGAGCTCCCGGGATACCCAAACCTGGGGCTACGTGGTGGGCTCCTGATTGTCACAACCACCCTCTGTAGCCCAAGGAGCTCGGTGTCCAGTCATCAGGGGAGCAGAGGTCTGGAAATCTACATTCAGAACCTAAAAATAGTCTCACTTTGCTCCAGTCATCCCTTCTGCAAATACAGCCCAAGGGCACGAGCCATGTGCGGATGGGACTTTCACACACAAATGTTCACTGTGGCGCTGTTTAAACGACTAAATGTCCTACGGCAGGGCCCTGGTTGGACAAATTGTTAGATCTGAGCTGAATGTGACCTGATTTAGGGGCTTTCCTGGCAACTCAGACAGTAAAGAATCCACCTGTCATTCAGGAAACCTGGGTTTGATCCCTGAGTCAGGAAGATCCCCTGGAGCTGGGAATGGCTAACCCACTCTAATATTCTTGCCTAAGGGAATCCCATGGACAGAAGACCCTGACGGGCTGCAGTCCATGGGGTCGCAAAGGGTCGGACATGACTGAGTGACTAATACACACTTAGTTTACTTTTGCGTTTTAAAATGTAGTAAAAAGGTAACAGAATAAGGTCAAAAAACTAAGACCGCAGATCATGTAACTAGAGGGAGGAAGACGAAATACGAGTAGAGGACAGAAGGAGTGGAAGAGAGCTAACATTTGTTGAGAGCCTGCTGTGCACTAGACCTGTACAGGGTCCTCTACCTGCCATCTAATGTGTACAGGGTCCTCTACCTGCCATCTAGTGTAGTCCTTCTAACAGTGCTTTGAGGCAGGAAGTAGACACACATAACAGAGGTTAAATAACTTGATGTTATAAAGCTAATATATGACAAAGCGAGGATTCATATCTGGGTCTTCTGATTCTGGGGCCAGTTTTTTTCCCTGTATGCCACTTTGCCTTCTCTTAAAACTGAATTTTTTCAAGAAGAGTCAGGGTTTCTCAGCCTTGGCACTGTGTGTATTTTAGAGTGGATAATTCTTTATTGAGGGAGGTTGTCCTATGCATTGTAGGTTGTTTAATAGCATCCCTGGCCTANCTCGATGGACATGAGTTTGAGTAAACTCTGGGAGTTGGTGATGGACAGGGCGGCCGGGCGTGCTGCAGTCCATGGGGTCGCAAAGAGTCGGACATGACTCAGTGACTGAACTGAACTGACCACCTCACCACCCAACCTTGGAGAGGCTCTTTCAATTCCTTCCAGTCTCAGTTTTCTCATCTGGAAAAAGGGCAGGATGTAGAGGTTGGAATGGCAGGAAATCCTACCAAGTGGCTAACTGGGTGGGACTTTGCACACTCATTTCTTATAAGCAGGTACTACAGCTGCAACTTAGATAAGTTAATGAAGCGGGTAGTTAGCACCCATCCAACAAGGCAGTTGAGCTCGTGTGTGGTGCTTGGGACTTGGGGAGCTGTGGCAGCCTTAAGGACAAGGCTGCCTTTATCACCCTTGCGGTGGGCTCCGAGGCAGCCCCACCCACCCCGGGTAAGGGCGCTGTAATTCTGTCTCCTTGCCTGCCCGCTCCCAGGCCTCTCCACACCAGCCCCACGCACTCTCCACGCTCCACTTGGCCTGCAGCTCCTCCACCTGCAGGCTCTGGTCCACAGACTCCAGGACCGCTGTGAGCTTGCGCCTCTGGCTGGCTGCGGTCAAGGCGATCTCCTCCACGTCAAGCTTGAGTCCGCTCAGCTTCTCTGAGGACCAGAGAAAGAGGAGTGGGATGGAGGGGATGGGTGGGAAGGACTGGGGGATGGCAGACAGATGTGGCTCCTGCCGGGGGACCCACAGCCAGTCCTCTTACTCCAGGCAGTCACGGGGCATGGTGGCTGCGGGGCTGGGCAAGCCCCGCCCTCCAGAGACGCCCCTGGCCCACCCCACCCTGACCAAGACCCTGTGCCCCACCCCTTTAGCTTCCCACACAGTGACCCGCGGTCCTCATCCCTGCAGGGCAGTGAGGTCTAGTGGTTAAACTCAGTTTCCTCATCTGTAAAATGGGGATGATAACAGAGCGGCTGTGCTGAGGATTAACAGCATCTACTCTGTGGCAAGAGCTCAGGAAGCCGTGACTGGTGGGCCTGTCCTGCAGCCGTCTGCCAAGAGCTCTGCAGAGGGGGCCAAGTGAGCCCCAGGCTGGCCCACCCTGCCCCCCTCCCAGGACTTCCCAGGGCTGGAAGCAGCAACTTACGGAAAAGGTGGTGCAGGATGAGCCCGTCGAAAATGTCCTCCTCCAGGCTGCGGACCACGATGTGCTCCGGGAGGAGCTCAGCATTGATCCAGTCCATCAGCACCTGCCGCCCCGAGACGCAGCTGACGGGGGGCCACTCCCCACCCGGCCTCTCGCCGGGTTCAGCTCTGCCCTCCTCCCACCAGTCAACTCTGACTCATCCTTCAAGGCCAGGTCAAACATCACCTCCTCTGGGAAGCCTGCTCTGATCTCCCAGGCTATTAGGGGCCTGCTCTGGGCTCTGGTGGACCTGAGCACTGCGGGCTTTTTTTTTTTTTTTTGTCCTGCATAAGGTTTTGATAATACAGGGGCACTGGTGTCCTGCCTCCTCCTTCAAACTACAGCAAAGCACAAAGGCTGTCCCTGGAGGTCGGAAGTGCAGAGAAGCAGCGCCCCTGTCCCTTTAAGGGACCAACCTGAGCTACCCAGGACTTGGTGGATAAACACCTCACTTCCTCTGTCCCAGCAGGAAGCCTGCAAGGTACCCGCTCCTCCACAGGGGCCCCCAGTAGCACCCAGCAGGCTCAAGCTCCATCATTCACCTTGGGTGGCTCCTTCTTACCCATCTTATTTCCCCTCTCCCCTGCCTTGTCTCCTGGGATGACCTCCCAACTCACTATTTTCACTTGAATCCTTAGTTCAGGATCAGCTTCTGGAGGGACCAAAACTAAGATGACACATCGGCACCCCACCAGTTTCCCTCTGCCTGAGAGAGGGGAACGTGGAGGGAGGGATCGAGAGAATGGGAGGGAGGAAGAAAGGGATGGAAAATGGGCCAGAAATCCTCTGGGTGGGCGGTCAGAGGTGGTGGAGTCCAGGAGGTCTCCTTGGAGGAGGTGACAGAAAGGCCCCACGGAGACTAGAGAAATACTGCAGAGGAACATGGAGATCCCAGGCCTCTGCACAGCTTACAGTCAAGAAGAACTGGGTGGTGCACGTGTTCCCACCCACTCGGTCAGCCGTCCATTGTCCCAGGCAAGTTGAGCCAGAGAAGGAGCACAAGATTTGGGGTCCGTGATCTGGGTCCAACCCTAGCTCTGTCACTGGCCACCGTGTGTTCCGCATGGGTCAGGTCACTCCTCCAAGCCTTGCTGTCTGCCCCCTGGGATGCAGGTGACAGCACACCTCTCTCAACTGCCATGAGCCTTGCTGGGGTCCCGTACAGAAAGGCACACAGTCAGCGCTCAATAAATATCCTTTCGTGCAGGTAAATATCCTTCCACTCAGCAGGTCTCCCAGGAGTCTGAGGGACTGCCGCCCACCAGCTTGAGGCTGGGGAGGGGATGGCCCACGGTCCCCATGCCAAGAAGATAAAGACTCCTCCAGAGAAAGATGGTCAGAGAAGGTTGCCGCACCTTTTGCAATTCTTCAAATTTGGGGTTATTCCGGGAAGTGGGGGGCAGGAACTTCCTCTTCTCTCCTGGAAACAGAGGGGAGCATGACACATGGATGGCGGCCTGCAGGTCGGCCCTGGAGCCAGCATCTCGACCACGAGGGGAGATTGGTCCTACAGCTTCACATGCACATACACACATGCAGACACATGTGCATAAGGGCAATCAAACACACAAACACACGTGCACACAAGTGCATTCACACACACACATACATATACCTTCACACACATGCACACATGCCATCACACACACACACACACACGCCCTGACCACCAAACATCCCCAGAGACCTGGGTTTCCCAGACATGCCTCGTCCTCTGCACCCACTTCCTTCGTCCATGTGGTTTCTGCCTCCCCCGAACACTCTTCCCCCTCACTTCTCTCATGAACACCAGCCCATCTTCAGACACACAGTATTTATATTTGGGGAACATACTTAAACTCGAAAACTATTTTTTATCTACCTGAAATTCACATTTAACTGGATATCCTGCATTTTATCTGACCCTCTTTCCACGTACATAAGAAGGGGTCACAGCCCAATTAAGCCCAGGTCCCCGGGCTCCAAGGGGTCGAGGCAGAGTTCATCCATGACTGTTAGGCTCCCTGGTGTGGGCAGGGCATTGAGGGCACCTGGCTTGTCCACTGAGCTCCAAGACCTGGGTCAGCATCTCCCCTAAGTTGAAGAACCATGGAACCCACAAAGGGTAGGGCCGAGGCGGACCCCTGAGATCACCGAATCCCAGTGGATGTGGGAGAAACTGAGATCCACCCCCCCGGGGCTGGCTTTGCCCAGATCCGCAAGATGTATCGCCTCTGTGTTCATGTAGCCCAGCGGGGATCTTCCAGACACTGCAGACCGTTGAGTACCACTCGGCCCCGTGTGTTCCTGGCAAGAGGAGAACAGGCTCCTGACAAACACTTGGTGGCAGGGGTGGGTGGGGGTGGCAGTGCCTGAATGGCTGTGGCCCCTTGCTGGGGCGTCGTTCCTGCCACTCAGAATCATGCCATGTTCCAGCTCCGCCTGCCAGAACTTTATCTCCAGACCAACTATAAAACCAAAAATAAACACTTTTCCAAATCACTAAGCCCTGCCACCCTAACAGCAATTTTCCTCCCGATGCTTTCCAACCTGAAACCACTTATAAACCAAGAACCCCAGTTAATGAAGTCAGCCCCGCGGCGCCGGGCTTGCGGCTTTGCAATGTCACCCTCTGTGCCTGCTTCCTCGTCTGTAAAAGGAGGCGAGAGGGCCCGTGACTATACTCCTCAGAGTAGCAGGTGAGATGCCATGTACAAGACGCGCTCAGCTCAGCCCCCGCCCAGAGGGGACCACACAGCAGTCAGCATCCTCACCACTGTCCCCGTTAACCTGGAGAAGTGCGGGTATGCGGGAATCTGGGGAACTCAGTGGAAGGTTCCAGAAGCAGGGGGGTCAAGTATAAAGCAGAAGGCAGAGGCGAGGGCTGGACAGAACTGGGTGTTCAGCTGACCACCTGGAAGCCAATGCAGGGCCTGATACAGCTCGTGGGGGTTCTCAGGATGCCGGCCCTGCCCCTCCGCCCCACCCGGCCTGAACCTTGTGAGAGCTCTTCCTCCGCCGGTGGGTCCACCTTCCCGGGGGTCTGCAGCAGGTTGTAGAGGGACTCCGGCTCCATTGCTGCCTTGCTGGCCCTGAGGAGGTAGGGAACGGAGGACGTCACCATCCGAGTCACCCTAAACTCGAGGTGTGCCATTTCCTCCAGAGTCCAGGAGGCGCGGGGAGAGGGTGGGCGCTGGCTGGGGGTGGACAAGTCACCGCGCTGCCCGAGCAAGGGGACAGGGTGCCTGCTGAGAGGGTGGCTGGAGCCAGTCCTTGCAGGCTGCCCTGTGGAAACACACTGCAGCTGAGGTCAGAGCCTGTGCAAAGGCTTGGCGGGGAGGGGGCTCCTCCTCGGTCAGGTGCAGCCAGGAGCAGCCAGCCCATAGCCCGTCCCGCAGGACACCACAATCTTCGCCCACCCACCCTCACCCAGGGCAGTAGGACCAAGGGGGCGACCCACTGCTCAGAGCTTCTTGGATCCAGAAAACCCTCTGGCTAACCTCAGGGGGGAGATCTGCTGGAGGGGAGAGGGCAGCGGTATGGCAGTGATCACATTGACAAGTGATGTCTGCAGATCAGGAGCTCCTAAACTGGGGCAGGGGTGGGGGACAGGCCTGTCCTCTCTGGGTCCTGAGCCTGAGTCAGGGGGCACAGAGCAGCCCCCCAGCCTCTGAGTGAGTGGACATGGGACTGGGGTGCAGGCTGGGCTCTCGGGGGTGTGGGCTGGTCCTGCCTGGCTCCAGTTCTGAGCGAGCTTCTCCACAGCGGGGCTTATCATTCTGGCCTGTCAAGGGAGCTCAGGGGTCTCTCCGCTCACCGGGAAGGGCCAGAGCTTTCAGAGCCCACCCTCCTCATCCTCGCTGGGGGGAAGGGTGACAGGCAGATTCAGAGCCTCCTCCCTGCTCCCCTGGACTCACTTCCTCTCTTGCTGGGTACGGCCCCCCCCACTTCCGCTCTGGCCCCTGGGCCTCCCGCTTTCAGCCCCAAACAAGACATGTGGGGCTGGGGGGGGCCTCCTGCAACCAAAGCTGGCGGTCAGCTGCAGCCCCCAGGGAGGCCTGGGGGGAGCAGCAGGGCCCAGAGCTGCCGTGAGATGGAGGCACTCACAAGACTGTAGTCACGCTGTGACACGGGCAGCCACCTGGGGACTCCGGAGCACTGTCCGTGGCTCCGTCGTGCCCTATATCATGGGGGCGTGGAGAACAGAGCCCCTGGGCCGACTCCATCCCCCCGAGTTCCCAAGCCTCCTTTCGGATGGGGTTCTGTTCAAAGGACCAGAGCAGAGGCGGGAACTAGGCCTGGGGGTGGGGGGGGTGGTTAGGAGATTGGGTTCCAGGCGGGCTCCTCCTCATTCTGGCTGTGTGACTTTGGGCAAACAACCTCCCCTCTCTGTTCCCCACGCTCCTTTACCGGGAGGGGCTGAACCTGACGGGCGCCAAAGGCTGCGAGCGTCCACAGGGCTGGGAGCTGCCTCCAGCCATCAGCAGCCGTGGGGGCCCTCCACTCCCAGACCTCAATTTCTTCATCGGAAGACTTGGGGTGGCCTGTCTCCATGGCTGAAGGTTAGGGGAGATGACAGGCTGGAAAAGGAAACTTTCCCGGGCTACATGAGAGCTGGGAGGGCGCTCTTCTGCCTGCCCAGGCCTCTGGGCTGCGGGAGCGGCTGCCTCTAAGTCTAAGAGGCAGGGGGACCAGCTGGGCGCAGGGTGAGCTCCACCCAGCACCTTCCCCTGGGACCTCGGCTAAGACCAGCTCCGGGCCCTGTTTCCACGAGGCCTTTCAGAGCTTTCCTCTCTGTATGTTTGAGCTCAGGCACTACGGCTGGCTGGGCAGAAAGGCCCAGAACCGAGGACTCACCTGGCTGCTTCCTCCACGCAGGGAAACGAAGGCCACGGGCTCAAGCGCTGGTGGTCCCGGGTTCCAGAGCAAATCGGCAGGGGCCGCCCGGGAGGCAGGGGCAAGCGGCTCACTTCCTCCAGGGCCTGTGGCTTCTGCAAAGACGTCCAGGCTACGTCTGCAGGGTGCTTCCTCCCAGCAGGGCGGTAGAACCAGATGCTCTGAAAGCGATGCCACCACAAGCCCCTCCGGAAAGCTCTGCCCCTGCCTACGGGCCCAGCCACACCTCCACGCTCCCCAGACACCTTGCAGGCAGCTCAGAGCTTACACTTCTTCTCTCTGTCCCTCTCACGTCCCTGATATGCAGACCAAGCCAGTTCCTGAGGCCAGAGGCTGGGAGTCAGCTTCCCCCGAGGCTCCAGCCCCACCATCAGCAAGCTGTCAGTGCTGCCTCCAGGCTGTCCCTCTTGCTTCTTGTCCCCGGCCTGGTCAGGACCCACCTTGTCCTCTTGCCTGGACCACACAGGAACCTCCTAGCTGGGAACACACTGCTCGCTCAAACCCCACCTCCTACCCCTGAGTTGTTCTCCACAAGTGATCAGAGGACCCACTTCACATCTCAACTCACTTAAAACCTGCTAGCGGTATCCGGTAGCCCTTAAAATGAAATCCAGTCTGCCCGGCCCAGCCCTAGGTCCTCATGGGACCTGCCAGCTTTGTCTCCATTCTCATCTCCTAACCTCTCTCATCCTCACACCCTCCCAGCCACATGGACAACCCTTCTGTTCCCTGAAAGCGCCACCTACCTTCCTGCTTTAGTGTGGTCACACGTACTATGCCTTCTACCTAGCTTTTAAAATGTCTGAGTCCACATCATTATCATCAGCTTAAGTGCCTCCTCCTTCAGGAAGCCTTCCCTGACTGCCTTATCTAAGAAGCAGATCCTTTCATGATCCCATACCACAGGCTCTTAAGGTTCCTTTGTCCTACTGCCTAGAGCAATGACTGGCACAAAGTGGGCTCAATGGATAAACACTGATGGCTATTGTTGTCTAAGGGGATCAGGAAGTTTTTTCCAAAGAGACATGGGCTTTGATGGATGAATAAGAGTTTGCCAGTTGAAGAAAGATGGGTAAGAATGTTCCAGGTGGAGGGAACAGCCTGTGCAAAGGACTAGAGGAACACAAGGAGGCGAGATCCCAGGACAGTGGGGCAGACTCAAGCTGGTCTCTTGAGCTTGAGTCTTTACGAGCCAGGCTGAAATTGAGAGTTTCCATAGCAACAGGTGACAGTGCTGGGTGACCAGAGACTAACCACCCTTTCTCTGCTGACAGATGCTGCAGAGAAGGGGGCAGAGCAAGTGGGAAGCGTGCGAGCAGGAAAGTGAGGCTGTTCGTGAAAGGTCATGAAAATGACCAAAGGTATTACTGATGCTATTGCATGTGTTGAGTGACTGATGATGAAGCAAGCATAACTGTCAGGGCTTTAACTTCACTAGGACCCAGCTTGGGAGGCAGATGCTCTTGCATCCATACATTACAGAGGAAGACACAGAGATGCATGGTCTCGTCTGCCGCTCTGTCCCACCTGTATGGGACTGGAGTTTGTGACAGCGTGCAGTGAGAAAGAG